GATTAGATACAAAATATCAATGATAAAGAAACATAGATTAGTGAGGAAAGATGGAGTCTTTATGAGTGAGTACCTTCTCTGAAACCGGTCTTGAACGGTTGAACCTGCGAGGGACATTGCAAAGATACCTCATCCTTACAGTTCTGGTAGTCTTTCTATGGATTGCCTTCACACTCCAGTTGTCTAATCACATTAATTAAACAAATCATTTCAAATTCAAAGCAGATAAATGATAAAAAAAAGACTAAATCTGTTGTTTTGTTCTGGTATTTCTAATTGTTACAAATGATTTATATTTTTAACCAAACTTAACAGAAGAAACCCTGAAGAAAGAATGTTTCATGTGGCTAACATAAACATTACCGAAATTATAAGCTATATTAAACAAATTACAGACATCCGATTCCAAGACCAAGAAAGATCCAGTTCTCAATCAAGATGATTTGAGTGACTTAATCAAACACTATAAAAAAGAAAGCATAAAGAGAGATGCATACATGTTCTCCTGCGAGCAATGGGGTAGGCACAGGCGGAGCAACGGCTCTTCTGGATGTGGAAACTGCAACGGCCACATCTCACACAGAGAATTGTAAAGCAAGTGTGCTGCATATACTGGAGTCAGTACCCGGATCACCTGAACGTTCACTTATTTCAATCTTTTTTTTTCCTTTTTGACAAAGTTATTTATGTCAAAAGGGATGAGGAACTTACCACACAAGCGGGTGCAATGGGAACAAAGGTGAGATTTGTCTTTCTATCTTCAGGGCGGATGTTCAAAGTCTAACAAATAAGATTACCATAGTAGGATTAATGGATATGTAAGAAACATACAACACTCGACCCAGAAATGGAATTTTGTAGGCATAATGGAACAGCAAGAGAGAAGCTTATATCATCTGTAAACAAAGTTTTTACCGAGAATTTCACTCTTTGGCACGGCTGACTTGGCCATCCCGGTTCGACCATGATGCGAAATTGATATCTAACACAAATTGGTACACATTGAAAGAAAAAGAGTTATCCATAAGAATCTCACGTGTGTAGCATGTTCACAAGGGAAACTCATTGTTAGGCCATCACCAGTTAAAAGTGACTAAGGAAACAATAAAATTTCTGGAAAGAATACAAGGTGACATCTGTGGACCAATACATCCACCTTGTGGGACGTTTAGATACTTTATGGTTCTTAATGATGCGTCCACAAGATGGTCACATGTATGTCTATTATCAACCCCCAAGATGGTCACATGTATGTCTATTATCAACCCCCAACTTGGCGTTTGCGAGGTTACTTGCTCAGATGATTAGTTTGAGAGCTCATTTTCCAGATTTTCCTTTAAAGACTATACGTCTTGATAATGCTCGTGAATTCACGTCCCAAGCGTTTAATGATTATTGTATATCCATGGGGGTAAGTGTAGAACATTCTGTGGCACATGTACATACACAAAACGGTCTGGCCAAATCCTTTATCAAACGCATACAGCTAGTAGCTAGACCATTACTTATGAGATCAAAACTCCCAGTCTCAGCTTGGGGACATGTATTTTTACATGAAACCGAACTAATTCGCATCAGACCATCTAGTGAGCATATATATTCCCCGTCCCAATTGCTTACAGTTCACGAGCCAGACATAACCCATCTTAAGACATTTAGCTGTGCCGCCTATGTACCAATAGCTCCACCACAGAGGACTAAGATGGGACCTCAAAGGAGGATGGGATATATGTTGAATATGAATCTCCCACTATAATAAAGTACCTTGAGCCAACCACGGGGTGATTTGTTTAAGGCCAGGTATGCAGATTATCATTTCGATGAATCCAATTATCCAACATTAGGGGGAGATAATAATAAACTGGTAAAGGTAAAAGAAATTTCATGGTCTCAACCATCTTTGTCCTGGCAAGATCCTCGGACTCAAAACTGTGATTTAGAAGTCCAAAAGATAATACACTTACAAAATCTAGCTAATCAATTGCCAGATTATTTTGCTGACCTGAATAGAGTAACAAACTAATATATACCAGTTGTGAATGCACCAATTCGTATTGATGTCCAAGAAGGACACGATCAAGTTTTTACAGAGTCTAGAGCACGTTTGAAACGTGGTAGACCAATAGGTTCTAAAGATAAGAATCCTTGGAAAGTAAAGAAAGGTGCTGGAACTGAACCCGTGGTCGAGGGAACCCTAGACATGGACGAGCCGGCCGAGCCGGACGAACCGCTTGAGCCGGCCAAACCGGCCGAACCTGATGTGCCAAACAATGAGTTTTGGGATGCCAAACTTCATGGTACTGAAGGCTCTGATAATTATGAGATCTTAATCAATTATTTCGTAGATGGAATAATACGTGAGGTACAAAACATGGAGAGTATTACGTGTTGTACTCTTTTTTCTTATCCATGGTTTTACCCAGTTTTATCCCTTTGGGTTTGGGTTTTTCCTGTAAAGGTTTTAATGAGGCAATATCCAAAGCGTGTTACATGGTTATGGCATCCAAGGGAAAGTGTTATGAACCAAATGGTGTGGATGTCCATAATTGGCCCTACTAGAACCGTACCGGACCGGCCCATCAAAGTTCTAGGTCGTTCGAGTTTTCTTAATCCATGTTGGATTAGGATTTGGTGATTTTCCTATTCTAAGTTGTATTTGGTTTTGTACTATTTTCTTTTCCTAGTTGGTTTAAGTTTTTTCCTTTTCTAGGATCTTGTAACTCCTATATAAAAGCACCTTATGATTATGAAATAAACACAAGTATTCCCCATATTTTCACAACATATATTTTGTTTCAAAATATTGATTACTTAGATTGTTTCTGTTATTGGATGAGGAATTAATTAGGCATTGCAATAAAACAAATACTGGGTTGGGTATCTCTTATATGCTAAAACGCAAGTCACTTGAGCAATCAAAATTTGACACATGTAATTTTTTTCAAAAAAAATAATTATATCACATTCTTTTTGATTGAAAATGTTTATGTAACTGAAACAAAATCCCTATTTTCTCTCCATCGATCATCACATCATCAAAGTACGTTCTAACATTCAGCAACTCCCACTATTAATTGTTTCATCTCTTACGTAAAGTTCAGTCAATCCATTATCTGTATTTTTCTCTCTTTTTCTTCTATTTTCTAAGCAACTTCTTCCTTTTCTTTATGTCTGTACTGTTGAAGATGATAAAGATTCTATCAAATCTACTTCTATTTTGTAGCTTGACTTTTCACAAATGAATGGAAAGTTAGAGTTTTGTTTCACGGACTTACGAGTAGAGACATTAAATTATTCTCAAATTGAAAAACTATATTCGTGTTGAAAAGGTAAACACAATTACATTTGCACTTATGATATCTAATATTATTTAAATAAATGAAACTCAAATTTGTATACTTTTTTCATATAGCAAGGAAATATAATTCAAGCTTTTTTGAAACAAAACATGATAAAACGTAATTGAGATAATATATTATAATTAAAATACTAAGTATATATATGTAAGGATTATCTTAAAATTTGTAAACCCTACTAATCTACCTATGAAAATTTCTGCAGACATATGATTTGGATATAAAAATGTGTATGCAGATAAATATTCATTAAGAGATTTTAATTATATCTTACACATGTTTCTAGCGATTCACATGGCATCATCAAATGATACAAGTCTTGGATAAGAATCTACAACGCACTAGAACGCCCTTGTTGATATTCTATAGTTATAACCGATTCATACACAATCTGTACTCCCCTTTATTTGAATACCCACCTACGGCTTTGATTGTTATTACTTCTGCAGGAGCTACGACGTCATTCCTTGCGGCAACCACTGGAATATTACAGAACGATCTAAAGAGGGTCATCGCTTATTCTACAACTTACTTTGTCGTGATACTAGTATTTTTTTTTGTCAACATATCTTATATTTCATAATGCCCAATGGGCAATTTACAGAGATATTAAAGTCTACAAAGCCCATTTAAAATAAAACATATTCGGTAAACAAATGACAAAAGCTTGCATGAATCCATCTATTCTCCACCGAAGAAAGCTAGGGCCATGTGACAGCAAATTGAAGGGTTTCTGGGATTTTCCACCGACTCTCGATTCTACACGGCCGTCGGTGTATTCTCCACCGGTTAATCCACTATCTTCTCCACCTCAATCGCCACTTTTTGCAGACTTCAAGAAGTCTCTGTGATTACCCTCTATTGCTAATCGCCTAGGCAAATGATCTCGTTCTTCAGTCACCATCTTCATTTAACCCCTAGAGTTCTTGTAGAAACAGAGATGTAGACCATTTGTTGAGACATCTATTGAAGACCCAACTCTTCTTAATCTATCTCTCCTCCACCAAGAAAAATCTCTCAACTTGCCTAATTTATTGACCATAAAACAAGTAGATTTATAATCGTTTGATGTAATCAAGCTAAGATGACAAATCGAAGAACTAAAAAACATAGCTTATGGAATCTGGAATAAAGCAAGCAAAAGAGGGATTTTTTAAATCAAACCAAATCGAATCTAGAGGATAAACATGAAAACATCTTCGATATTGGTTTGAAGAAGCACAACAAAACGATAAAACGAAAATAAAAGTAAAAGAAATCGCCACTACGAAGATTAGATCCGCTAACCGGAATAAAAGATTCGCCAAGCGAAAAATATTTACAAACAAAAAACAAAAGGGATGATCGGCAGCACCGCCACTGACCACCAGAATAGCTTTCTTCTTATGAGAGTTCTAGTGAGAGACGAGAGCAAAAGAAAGAAGAGAGAGTAGTGAAAGCTTGTCAACGTGATACTAGTATAAAATATTTGAAAAGCCTAAAAACCAATTAGCTCAACCGAAATCAATTTTGAAAACTTGTCGACCGGGTTGGACCTCAAAACCGAATGAAAACCAAAAACAAAAAGTTCGAGTCGTTTCCGTTCGATTTGGGGTTTACACATAAAGACAAATTCGGAATTTAGAGAGAGAGAGAAGAGATGAGATGGATTCTGTTGTGCTCCCAACGCTAACAAAGAAGGAAGAGATCGATCGGATCATCAACAACACAATCGATAAAGTCCTTGTCCTTCGATTCGGCCGTATCTCCGACCAAAATTGTCTTCTTCTTGATGACATTGTATGTTTTGCTTTTCCATCTGCACTCATAATCTTCTTCGTCTCTCTCTTCACCCAAAACCCTAATTTCAGACATTTTTTCAGCTCGAGAAATCGGCGAGAGATGTCTCGAAATTCGCTACGGTAGCTTTGGTGGACGTTGAGTCGGAACAAGTTCAAGTTTACGTCAAGTACTTCGACATCACTCTCTTCCCTTCCACTGTCTTCTTCTTCAACGCTCATCACATGAAACTTGATTCTGGGTTAGATTCTTGTTTCACAGTAAATTAACAAAGCTTTGATTTTTTTAAGTTAATTTTGATTTGATATTTTCTTACAGAACTGCCGATCATACCAAGTGGGTAGGTAAATTCTACGAGAAACAAGACTTCATTGATGTTGTTGAGGTAATTCAATTCAATTCATTTCATTACAATCTCTATAAAATATAAAGATTGTATTGTTTGAAATAATAAAATCCTCTGCTTTGTCTTTTTGTATGAAGGTAATATTCAGAGGAGCTATGAAAGGGAAGATGATTGTTCACTGTCCTCTTCCTCCCGAGAGAATACCAAAGTACCAACTCTTATACAAGGATGTCTAGACAAAACTATGTTTCTGTTTCTGTTTCTCATCCCTTATGTTGGAATAAAAAACATTTACATGACATTTTTCGTTGATTTACATATATGTTTTTTTGTACAGAATGAGATAAATATGCATAGTATGCAACCAGAATGTGAACTATACCCGTTTCTTGATTCTCTGATGTTGTAAACGTCTTCAGGGTTTGTTTTCTCTTTTCTTGCTTTTAGTGACGAGTTCCATAGACATGGATCGAAGTCTGCTTGTTATCTCTGTGAATGGAGGACGAGCATCCGGGTCTATGTCCCAGCATTGTTCCATCAGCTTTTTCCATTCCGCAGAACATGTTTTTGGTATGGGAGGTCGAAGTGTGTTCTTCACAATCCCACCTTTAGTGTTAACAAGAGGGAAACAGATGAGCAAAGAGTGGAAGTGAAAAAAAACTGGGTGATGGTATTTGACTTACCAATGATCGCTCCACAATGCATATCTGCATAAGGTTCCTCTCCTGTTAGAATCTCCCATAGGCAGATCCCATATGAAAATACATCGACCTGTTCACACGAGTTACATAAAGCTGTGTCTCCTAATGGAATATAAATTGGGTATTTGGTTTTTTCTCTTACTTTCTCTGAAACCCGGGTGCTGCTTCCGTTCAAGAGTTCTGGTGCCATCCATGGAAGTGTTCCTCTCACTCCCCCAGATACCAAAGTGTTACGTTTGATTCTAGATAAGCCGAGATCTCCCACCTGAAGATTTTTAATGCTCAAGGTTCAATGGGGATGAGATTGTTTGACATCAATGTGCTTACCTTGCATATAGGTCGTTGTGGATCCCTTAGATTGACGAGTAAGTTCTCACATTTGAGATCAAAGTGGACAATGTTCTTCAAGTGCAAATACTCCATGCCAAAAGCAGCATCCATTGCTATTATTATCTTTTTTCGAGCGTCAAGCAATCTGTCTCTCTTGACAAGGGCATGTCTGAGTGACCCATTCACCATGAACTCAGTGACGGTCGCTAATGTTCCTCCACCTCCATCAGGGACTATCCCGTAGAATGCAACAACATTTGGGTGATGAAGATTTGAGAGTATCTGTGCTTCTCTCCAGAAATCTTTGGTCTGATAAGAGAACAAACCAATTTTTAAGTGTCATAGTTAGAAGAGGAAGATATTTTATGTTTATCTTCAATTTTGTTTCAGACCTAGAATCCAAGGCATGTTTATGACCAGACTCCACAGTAGGACTTAGAGAGCAGCAAAAGATAAAAGAAAGACACATAACACAGACTTGAGAACTAACCAAACGTTCTCGTTCAGATGATCTTCCTCCAAAGCAGCTGTTCCTTATTCTCTTTATTGCGACATCCGTCCCACGCCATTTGCCATGGTAGACAGTTCCATATGTTCCCGATCCAAGTTCTGTTAGGTCTTCAAGATCAGCATTCTTTATCATCTGAATGTTTAGGATAGTAAAAGAAAAAAAAAGTCAATTACTAAAAACATAATTATCATTTTCTGCATTAAGTTTTGTTTAGAGAATAAACAACAATAGAGGTTGAGTACCTGCAAGCCATACACACTGGCTTCCATTTCAACTATGAATGTGTCGCTAGAATTGTTGTCTTTCTCTTCAGCATTAGCTTCAGCGTCCTGTCAACAATAGACAATAATGAGAACAAGACTATCTCTTAGCTTAGATTATAAGTTTACAAACAATTGAAATCACTACCTCAGAGTGGAAGACAGTATCATTGCTGTCCAACTTTGTGTGTGGAGTGGTTTCAAGTGAATCTTGCCTTTGGACAGATGGGATCTTTAAATTGTAAGTTTCGTTGGTTGTCTCTAGCGCTGGCTGATTCAAATCCATGCTGGGGATTCTCACAAGGCTTGAACCACCTTCCCTTTGTACTCTCTGCACGTCATTAACAGTTAGTAATCTGATAGAAAATCATGTATTGGTGAAGAATGGATGGTATACTCACATTCTTTTGTGTTGGATCAAGTTCTAGGAGCCCTGTCTCATGAATAATTTCTCTATTTGCTGATTCTGAAGAGATGTTGAACAAGAAATTCTCACTAGAGTCCGTTCTCTTATTTAACAACACCCCTGAAACTTCCAAATTCATTTCCCTGAAAGCTTGATTTACAGGTTCTTGAATAAGATCAAAAATTGCCTGGGTGAGTCTTCTTTCCTGATTTGGGGTGTCAGCTGCAATGCCTTCGTCCAAGGAAATTAGATTCCCAGATGATGTTCCAGTCATCAAACAATCACTATCTTGCTTTATTGCCTTCCATGGGTCAACATTAACCACAGAGGTTTGGTTTCCATAGGTAGGCAAGTTCTTGCATTCTATGTCGTTAGGGACTACCCTTGTCCCAAACACTTTCCCACTATTCCTTTCTTGATTTAGAAAAATCTCATCATAATGATTGCCTGCGTCAGAAATGTCTCTATGTATTGTCTTGTCTTCACCGAATAGTCCTGATCCTCCTCCTCCGCCAGTGGACTTCAAATCGAGTATATTACTATGCGTACGACGGCTAGATAGATCGTTGTTCCTATGCTCCTGCACTAGCTTTTCTTCTTTTTCTTTCTTTGTAAAGTTCAACGGTGAAGATGGGCTATGTTTCTCCTGTGAAAGGTAACTAGAATGTCCACCGTTAACCTCCAGTGTAGAGTCTGAATACGAGTGTGGTATTCCCAAGAAGGAATCATTTGAATTTGTAGAACCAGAAAATGAGACCTTAGGTTCTTCAGGTATACACGGTTTCTCACAGTAGAACCCTCTTCCACTATTACCATGACTGATAACAGGAGTCTCATGGTTTTTGTTGAAGCCACTCTGGAACTGAATCCCGTAAGAGTTGTTCTCCGCCTCATGGTTGTAAGTCTGAAAGTTTACTGAAGGCTCTGGTTGGGGTAGAGTGACGGAGTTGTTGCTCTCGGAGCTTGAGTTGTCGCCATGGAACTGCGAGTAATCCTTCTGCTTGAATGGTGAGGGAGAAATAGGAGGTGATGGATAATACTGAACTCCATTGAAAAGTTGATTCGAGTGCATTGCAGTAGTATCAAGCGGGAGCATCTGACCATTCAAATGGTTCACATGATAACTTGTATCACCGGCGATTTTCATCTGCTGAGCCTTGTTTTCAGGCTGTCCAATAGGAATCAAGAAGAGTCTTGGCCTCTGTGAACCTTCATTCCTTTCTAGTCCATTGTACTCTTCCATCATATTCTGAAGATCTTCGTCTGTAGATACTGATATCAGAGAGTCAAGCTCATCACCAGGAAGCTGATACTTGATAGAATGCAACTGTTGGCATATAGCTGAAGTCTTCTTCTTGAGCTCTTCCCAAGAAAGGTTCTTGCGGATGGAAACAATATGCGTCTCTCCTCCAACGTATTTCAACTTCTCATCGCCGGATCTTGGCATAATCTTCCCACCAAAGCTGCAAAGAAACTTAACTTTCCCAACTCTGTCAAAATCTCCTCCTCTGCTAGACTGAACACGTTCTGGTAAGAACACAGAAGGCGCAGACCTCCCTCCTTGGTTTGAGTTTATTTCACCAAAAGCCTTCCTGGTTATAACTTCTTTCTCACCACCAAGATGGTAACATGCGTTATTAAACTGAGGCATGTATCCACCATTCTCAACGCGTGTAGCAGCCCTAGGGTCACGTCCATATGCATCAGAAGGGCATTCTGACTCTATCCTCCTCAGCTCATGAAACCGAGCACCATTCTCGGGTTGATTATGATAGTAAATGTCTCCGAATCTATTATTCGGCGTATGGTTATGAGTAGTAGGAGTATGATCCTTGAGAAACTCCATGGAGAACTCTTCCCCAGTCTGAAGCGAAACGTTTTTATTCACGTTTTGGTGAGTCCATGTATCTGACATAGTTTGATCGTCTCTCAGTTTAATCTCTAAGCTTCCATTAAAAGAAAAGCGTAGAAGGAAAGAAGCTTTGACAATATTACAGACACGAGATCCAACAAAGTAAAGGCAGAAACAGTCAAAGAATCTTCAGTTTAGAAATATATATGTTTCACCTGAAACATCAAAGGAAAGAAACAATTTTATCAGAATCAGTCATTTAGACATGTAAAGAAGAATATTTCACAGACAAAATAATTCAAAATCAAAAGCAGAGTAAAAGAGAGAACATGCAACAATCATGGCCAGCCCCAAAAGCTAAAAACAAAGCCAGCTCAAAGATTCATTTTGTAGGACCTGTAAAGATCCTACAAATGAATGTATCTACATTTCTAATAATCATAAGTTAATTCACATTTCTTTGTCACGAACACAACGAATTTTGAATTCAGAAATGGGATCCCGAAATCGAATCATTTGAGAATTTTCTACCCACTTGAAGAATCCTATCTCGAATCAGTTAATATGTAATTAATCAAAGACACGATCACAAGATTTGTTTGGCGTAGATAAATTACCTTCACATTGAACATTCAAACAGAGGAAGGCGGAAAAGAGAGAGAGAAACAAACAAAATGAGGATCGAAGAAAAGGGGAAGAAGAGGAAGAGAGAGCGTTGATTACACAGTTGTGAGAGAGACCCGAAGAAGATCAAAATTTCCCGAGGATTAAGCGCAACATCGAACCTTTACCGGGACTTTCGCTCAATTTCAAAATTTTGCATTTTCACTGATTTAGGGGACGCTCACGGAACAAACGATGATTCAAACTACTCGTTTCTTATGATCCGGCCCATATCTATTAAAAGCCCAGACTCATTTAACTTTGTTTTTTTTTATTATTATGGTATCCATTCAAAATATCTAGAAAACTGGTGGATTAATGACACACTTGGTTCATAGTCTCCGCGCGCAAGAGAGGAACCAGAGACAATAATGATGCATTGTAATGTTTTATGCATGAGATTTTGTCGTTTGTTTTGGGAATTTTTTTTTTTCAGGGTTTAATTTGAAAATCCAATTGAATTGAGTTGATATATGAATGAGTGGGAATTCATATGCTTTGAAATATTCATAT